CATGAACATGTTAGATATGTGTTGTTGACATACGAAAAAACACCCTTTCACCCCCATACGTCTATCACGCGTTTTAAGCGATAACACAGTCAACACAAAACTAGAGTTGATGAACCAGTACAGCCGGCAGGTTAGGGTGCAGGGGGACACACTCAGAGAAACCTGTTCTGATGTTTTTGGTTTCCACAGAAACAGTGAGCGTGTGTGTGGACTGGCACTGTTTCATGATGAAAAGCATGTTCAGACCTGCACAGGTACTGTCAAAACCATCTCACCTGGCCGGCTCTTGGCCAATCAGGATGGAGCACAAGCAGACGTGGAGAACAATGTTCTCCTAGCGTTTGTGCCACAGGTGTATGTGTGTTTATGTACTTTTAAACCTCACTTTTATCCTTAATGCCAGTGCTTAAAACAAAAGATTAAGATGATTGCTAACTTCCGTGACTACACGTATTTAACTGGAAATGTAAAGCTCAAAACGCACCTAGCTCACTGAAATTAAAAAGACATAGTCAAATAGATAGTTTCATTTTAGTGTGCATTTAGGGTTGCTGACTTAACATGTGAATTTAAATATTTGTCAAAATAGTCAAGCTGTGGGTAAAACCATATTCAGAGTTTTTTTTACAATATCAGTCTGTTTATCGCTTATCGTCTTATGTGACCAATACAACAAATGCCTCATTTTTAACCTGTTGTCTGAGCTTGTTAAAAAAAAATATCAGTATTTATTACAAAAGCACATGCTTATGAACTGCATGATAGCTCTACCTTAAAGGGAGAGTGCATGCAAAAATTAACATTATGTGGTCACTTTTCTCTTTCATCCCGTCTAATATTTCTTCAAATAGAAATATTACGCAGAGTGACAGCCGCTGTCACCATTTACTTTCATTGCATGAAAAAAAGATGCAGTAAAAGTAAACGGTGATCCAGCTGTCAGACCCTCACGTTCTCCCTAAATCTGCTTTTTTTACGTCCGGCGCAAAAACGAAAAAAAAGTCATGGCAGTTTGGAACAACTTGAGAGTGAATAAATGATGCCAGAATTTCATTTTTAGGTGAACTATCCCTTTAAGACCATAATACTAGTTATTCTAAATCCGACAACTGTTAGGCGGATTTAGAAAACTCAGTGAATATAATCCATCCGGTTTACATATAATCTCAAAATGAATCCAAACGTTATAATGCTGAACTACTTCCATAAAAAACTCGTGAACAGTTACAAAAATAACACGTGAACACGCCGAGATGTTTCTGCAATCGCCCGCTATTTTTCAACCACACTACGTCGCCGCTGACATTGTACCTCTCGTCCATTGTTTCTGAATCATAACGAGTGTGTATTTTTTGGGGAAGTACCGAATCTCACCGTAACTTGTCCAGCGGACTCGCGCGCGCACGGTGAATGGATGAAAATTGAAATGAACACGAGCGCGAGACCACCGCGCGGGCGCGAGCGGGGAGCGCACATGCCATCCACCTGTTCATCGCGGCGCGGCGCAACCAGAACAAACAACTATTCCGCGGAGAGATGGGTGCGTTTGTTAAAGTTCAACTTAATACAAGCGCTCCACTGCTGAGCATGCATTTAGTAAATGCAATGTTGTCAGGACAAACTGTCAAGTCTTGTGTCTAAATGCCCGCGTGTGGCTGTGCAGCGCAGTCTCATCATATCATATAAGAAAACACATGCACTCATCAAAGTTCTCATCAAAATGCGTAACTCTTAAAACTCACCTGTGTCTGTGCCGCCTCGCCATCCCGCTGCTCAAGAGGAGGGTAGAGGTGATGAGTGCGCTCGGCTCAAGTGTGCTGAAGTGGAGTGCTGTCAGCTCCTCTTCGAGGAGGAAGTGCCGATATTAAGCTCTCTACGGAGTGTGCGATTTTGTAAACAGAACCATCAGACAAAGCTAGGGCTGACTCTCCCTCCCGCTAAATTTGGCGCCTCGGGTGTACGCATGCGCACAACCTCTCTACTATTCAGACATCAGAGCGCCTTTTGAGCGAGAGGTCCGCGCTAATCGTTCACTGTTGTACTTTTGGAACAATTATATTGTGTTTTTCGAGGTAAAAAGACAGGGAGGGGTGTCAGCGGGTTTCTTAAAGGACAATGTGGACTCTGAGTGGGATTGAAAGTTTGGCAAACGGGGGAACAGAGCGTGAGGGGTCGGGCATCCTCTCTGCGGTACTGAGGCTGTGCTGTAGTGAGTGAATCGTAAAGAAGTTTCGCGAGTCCTGTGCGACTCTCTGTATAAAAAATATTATTCAAAATGATTCTTATCTTATTCGCCAAATGCTAAGATCGTTTCAGAGTTTAACAGAGTATAACAAATAAATACATTTAACACAATTCTTTTCAAAACGTGTTCCCTGCTAACGCAGGTTTTCTGTAAGTTAAGGTAACTTTAACCAGACGTTTTAGAAGCACCACAAATGCAAATCTGTAAATGATACTAACTGTATTTTAAAAAAATACTAAAAAACCTGACCGCGTTTTATGATTTAAATTTTTTTTTTTAAATGTGAATCTTTAACACGTTGTCATATGGCCAACCAGCCATTAAATTAGATTAGTTTGACTTGATTGTTCGAAGTCTCGCTAGCCTTCACGATGCTTTAGATTTCCAGTGGGACCTTTATACAGTCTATGAGTGGGATATGAGGATAGCAACTGATTCTTTGTTTTTGATTCAGCTCTTAAGAGTCATTCGTTCGGCGCTCGGACTTCATGGGGCGCCGTATGTTTTGATTCACTAAAAAGAACCGACTCATAAGAGTCATTTGTTTAAGAATTGGACTGCACCATCCTTCTTATGGCCGAAGCAGTAGTATTGCGCTTCGGGTGTACTCACACTAGGCACGAGCCCGAGCGCGATTATCCCACTCCCCCGCTGGCCTGCACTCACACTTGCACTAAACTTTCCGGGCCGGAGCACGCTTACGTCATGTATGAGATAACGGAGAAAACCACTTTCACTAATATTCAGCCGAATAATTAATAATAATTTATTTATAATTGATGCCGTGCATTGATTTTCACTTGTATGTATCAGAAAATGATTACGGAGACAGCCGAGGATAATGAAATAATTTGCAGCTTTACTCGCAAACTACATTTCCTGTTCATCTATAAGGTAAGAACCAGAGCCATTATAAACCTAAATATACTTGATTGAATTAAATGTATTGAAAAGTGTAGTGTAGTAGTAGTAATAGAATATGTTTGCGGTCGTAATGATGACAGTAGCGCACACAAAATAGTATCTGTTCCGTGCTCCGGCCAGTGACGGGGCTACACCGGGTCTGGGGGAGGGGCTATAGCCCCGTCAGAATTTTAATAGTCCCGGTTTAGCCCCATTTCTTTATGAAGTAACCCTGACGTCATCAATATCATTTATTTTCTTAGCACCCCCACATATTGGTCTAGCCCCCCCTTAGCACCGGTAGAGAAAAAATTCTGGCGCCGTGCCTGGCTCCGGCGCTGTTAGCGCTCACACTGCATGCGTACCGCGCCCGAGCCCAACCGAACCGTGCCCTGGCCCACCTCTTCCAACCGGGCCAGGGCCGGCTAAACGAACCGCGCACGAGCGCGGCACGGAGCGCTCACACTAATCAAATGAACCGGGCTTTGGGGGTCAAACGCGCTCGGGCGCGGTTCAAAACGCCAAGTGTGAGTACACCCTTAATATCAGTGCAGAAAACACTGCCAGGATATTTTTGTAATGTATTTGAGTAATTTCAGAGTATTTTAGTAAATATAAACGAATACGTGTTTCAGAACCATCACGTCATTCGATTGCGGCACTTTTGAAGTTCCCAATTATAAGATGCAGGTGTTCAGTTATGGAAAGCCAATTACCCAGAAAACAGCTTGATATTTTATTCGTTAAACTTGTCTCGCTTTCATCGGGTTACAACACTTTCGCTTTTCTTTTTCCAGAAATGTACCACCTCTGGGTTGCTAATAATTTCACTTAGCGTCAGGACCAATGTTACACAATACATATGGCACATTTTGGTACTGAAAGTCACGGTCAGGTTATTTGTCTGAAAGGAAAAGTAGTGCAGCTTGTTTAAGTTCTCCGACATGTCCAACCTGTTGCCATGTGATTGTCTGCGTAATTGCATAATCATCGAGGAGCAAACTCACGCCGTCACACACTCAGGGTTGTGGTCTATATGTTTTGTTTTATAGGTTGTCTGCACATTGCGCTCACTTAGTTGGCATCTTGTGCCCGTCACTTATCATATCGGTCAGCTTGAGCCATTGTTTCTGACCACTGACGCTCACGTGCTCAGCAGAGCTCGTAGGTCATGATCGCGCCTCTGTTGTGTCTGCGCGCTTGCTGAGAGCGCTCATCCATCCATTCCACTGCAGAGCAAGGAGGGGTTATTGCGGGGGTGCTTCATTAAAAGTGAAAACACTTACACAGTCGCCATTTTATTTCAGTAGTCTACTTCCCTATGAGGTAGCAGGTGATTTATGACTAACCTACACAACAGATCAAAACTACAATATGTCACTGTTTGCTGTGGAGTCATACAACTACAATAGCCACACCTAAAAATGTATAAATTGCATTGTGTAGATAACCTAATACCAAGCCCAGCAGAATCAAAAAACTACCTTCACAATATTTTGATTCATATTGTTCACATTATAAGTCAAAACATCTCAGAATCAGAATTAGCTTTATTCGCCAGGTGTGCAAACACACAAGGAATTTGTTGTGGTTTTTTAAGGTGCTCCTGGTACATACATACATGCATACATACATACATACATACATACACATCTGACATGATGACAGAAAAAAAATTTAAAAAAACATTTAAAAAGTCAAACTTAACAATAAATAATGTGTATGAATCTGGAACAGTAGATTTATGTACAGATTTGTGCATCATTTACTCTATATAGAACTGTATAAATAAAGAGATATGCATATGTATTTACATAATACTTGAGAAAGAGGCAATAATTAAGGATGTAGAATGAATTACGGAAATGAATTACAGAACGCAGGTAATGATTCATATGTTAGCTGTTTAAGCTGGAGATGGCATGGGGGAAAAAACTGTTTTTATGCCTAGATGTTCTAGTGCACAGAGATCTGTAGCGTCTGCCTGAGGGGAGAAGTGCAAACAGGTTGTGTCCGGGGTGAGAGGGGTCTTTGATGATGTTTCATCAATCACTCCTGCAGAGTGCCAAAGTTGACCAATAAGAATGAACTATTCCGGAAAACGGCAATAAATTCCAACAACCGAAGAGTATTATTTTATTCATATGTTATTATAATATTATTATTAATATCATCATTACTATTGCAGTTAGTTATGAAATAGCATTAATAAAAAAGCATTGCTCATCTGTAAAGCCCTATGACATCACCGTAACTAACTGGATGATTCATCGCACTGTACCACTACCTCCAACCCTTTTGTCCCCCACTCAAACACATGTCTGAGGCTCTTGAAATGTGTTTAGAAACATCAAATGCACAAGGAGGATCACTTAATGTGAGTGCATCTGCGTGATGATGTTAAAGTGCACAGGTTTCCATTGCAGCATGTTTGTGACCTCAAAATGTTTGTGAGTCAGTCTTGAAACAGACACCATATACACTCTACAGACTTAATGATGTGTGAGACTGACCTGTGTTTAAGGCCTAATTAAAATTGTGTTATTAAAATGTTATTTCTATCCCTCCCATGTATCCTCACCATGATACCCAGCCAACAACACAACCTGTGGGTAACACATTTTAGAAAAATGCAGTGAATGAAACATCCCCACCACACTGATTCAGATCATCAGCTCATTAGTAGAGACTCCAAGACCTGAAATTGGTGTGTCAGGGAAAGGAGACATGCAAAATGTGCAGTGTTGGGGTGCCTCCAGGACCAGGGTTGGGAACCACTGCTTTAACTAACTAGGAATATAACAGAATTGTCTTCCTTGTTCATAGACTATGATGATGATGACATGTACGGGCAGTCAGTGGAGGATGACTACTGCATCTCTCCTGCCACTGGTTTGTGTTTAATATTTAATAAATGTATAATTATGTGGGCACAGTCATTTAGATAAGTCATAAATATTATAATGTAATTTATATTTTTAAATGGAAGATTGTTTAATTATCATCTGCATATAATTTTGTCCTTATTTGCTTGATTAAATTGATAGATTTGGTTTGAACCCAGTAATCTATTAATTTTACTGGCTGTGTATGTACTGACTGTGTGACCCATTGCAATTTGCGTATGTTTTTTTTTTAACACTTTAACATGTTTAATCATTAACTGTATAATAAGGATTAAGTTAACTTTTCTCTGTTATGATGTATGTGTGGATTCATGTTTTTCATAGCCGCACAGTTTATCTACTCGCGTCAAGACTCGAGGCAGGCTCGACATGTAGAGACCCTGGAAGAGGCAGAATATGAGGAGGAGGAAGAGGAGATGCCCACCTCTCCCACTGTTGCAAGCTCACTAGACCCACTACAGCAAGGTACACAATGACTTTATGGGTTAAGATGGTCACCTAGTCGTCTAGCTGGCTAGTAAGTTTATCTAGGTTTTATATATTTTTAATTAGGGATGCACCGATATGAAAATTTTGGCCGATACCGGAGCTTTAAAGGATATATAGAGAATATATAGAGAAGGGTTGCGAGATCTGCAGTTTTTCTCTACACCAAACATTATTTGAAGCCATTTTGACACTTTTAAATGCGACGTGACAGATCGCTGTTGCACCACAGTTCAAGCAGCAGCGCAGAGCGTGAGTCTCTTCCACTTTCCACTATAAGTTATAGCACAAAATAAACATGAATGAGCATCAGAAGGTATGTTGAAAGATACATTATAGCTTACCAAAATGTATCATGTCTTTTGTAATCACTCAATCAGTGTTTCAACTGCGGAAAGATGTCAATAAAACAGATTGTGAACAGTATGTCACTTAACGTGGCATTTATTTCAGCTAAGTTATCCACTGTTCATAATTCATTAGTTAGCTATAAAACAACACTGAAGAGGAGCTTTTTTACTTATAATTATATATGTGTTAGAATAAATCTGGCATGAAGACAGGTATTTATGAAGACTGTGCAAATGAGTTGTAAACAGACATTTCAATTTTTATTTGAGTGTAAATATATCTGAAAATAACTAGCAGTTGAATATAATAGCTCTGCTGCTAATTTTAACCTTTAGTATATGTGCCAAATGATAGGGTTCCCTGTGTAGTTAACAGCATCTGTTAGGAGAGATTTTATTTCCTTAAGAAAATCAAACTATTGTTATCAGCAGATATCATTTTGACTAATCTGCTATTGGTTTCGGCAGAGAAATTCAGTATCGGTGCATCTCTAATCAAGACAATTACATGCATATTTTCTGCTGTGTATAATGCTCCTGTTAGTATATGTAATTTAAAGTGAAAAGTGATGTGACGTAGCCAAGTATGGTAACCCATATTTGGAATTTGTGCTCTGCATTTAACCCATCCAAGTGAGCGCACACACACACACACCCGGAGAAGTTTGTTATTCTGCTTTTTTTGTTAGAACTATGGTTTTATATTTATTTATTTATTTTGTGGAATAAGATTAAATAGTTATTCAACTTATATATTTGGTTACTTTCTGTCAGTTTCCCTATTGAAGTGTTGCACTGTTGTGTATCTAATAAATGTGTTTGATCAGGGTCTGGTAGATTAAATCAGCCTAACCAGCTTCCTTAAAGGTGGGGTAAGCAATTTCTGGTAGCCAATGTTGACTTTTGAAATCACCAAAACAAACATGCCCCTACCCCAAAAGGGTCTCGCCCCTATTTTAATAGCTCCACCCCACACATACGTACGCAACCCAGGCAACGATTAGTTCTGTGAAACAAAGCAAAACCAGTGATACACCGTGTCTACACCGTACACGAGTGGTGCGGCACGACAAAATACTATGGAACTCATTATAATCAGTGATGTTGTCTACACCATAGATAGATATACATATCTATGGTCTACACTGAATGCAGTACGACACGACAAATCCCTGACAGAAAACTGCAAATTTCAAATGATTTTCAAAGGGTCGCTTTGTTGCATCCAGTGTACTAGACAGACTTTAGCTGTTGCGGCGCAGACACGGTGTTACTCACCTATCGAGAAGAAACAAAGCAACCTTGGCGTCCGATCGCAGGCCTTCCGCTCCTTGAGTTCTCTCCAGCGCTGGAAAGCTGATCCGATATTTACACGGGTCCTACTTCTTGCCTTATTGCCTTAAGCCTTCTTTTGTGCTTCAGACGTTTTCCTCTTTTGTTTTTTATCTGCCATCTCTATCTTTTTGTCGCTCGGCTAATGTCCGTCCTGTGCACTGAACGCCCTCTCCTCCACATCAAGAGTAGACACGCCCCTTACTGCTGATTGGCTACAAATTTGTTTTGCTAGTCGGCCCGAATCAGTTTTCTAAACAGTTTTTGAAAAATCGAACCCTTACCCCACCTTTAAGACAGGTTAATCAACTAGTTGTTCAGACAACCCAAAACCTTGCAGATTTTTTAAGCATATGTACACTACCATTTGGGGTCGGTACAGTTTTAAAATATTTTTTATGCTCACCAGGGCTGCATTTATTTGATAAAAATACAGTTAAAATAGTTAAATATTATTACAATTTAATATATTCTAATATGTAATTAGTGTCACATGATCCTCATCATTCTAATATGCTGATTTGCTGCTGAAGAAACATTTATTATCAATGTTGAAAACAATTGTTGTGCTTTTTGGTGGATTTTGATTAATAGAAAGTTTAAAAGAATAGCATCTTATCTTACTGATCCCAAAAACTTTTGAACGTTAGTGTAGTTTTGCACATTGCTAGATGGCTTTGTGTGCACATAAACAATATTCCATTGGGAATGTTTTTTATCAGTTGTCCTTATTTTCCTGTTTGTTTGTGTTTGGACAGGTCGGTTGTATTCTTGTTTGGATCAGATGAGAGCTGTGCTGGGAGATTCAATTCCAGAATCCACATTAACTCAGGCAGCTCTGAAATATGACTGTGACCCTCACAGAGCCCTTGATTTTATTCTAACTGAGGAGAACACCAATGCACACACCCCTCCAGCCAGAACCAACTCACAGCCCGAGCCTATCACCACAGCTGCACCACAGAAAGGTACACATACACACCCTTCCACCCAAAACCAATACACGTCACATCACCAAAAAAAAAAAAACCCTACACACCCTTATAGCCATTAGCTAGCCAGAATACTCTGTGTTACTTCCACTTAAAAATGTGCCCTATTGTGTATTTTAATCTAAAAGGAAAATGAAAACCATTTCACCACAGATAGAAAAAAAAAAAAAAAAAAACCAAGTTGGCATGAGGTCTCAGGGGAAAATGCTAAATTCCAGGTTTTTTCCAAAACTGGGGAGAACCTAAAATGTTTTTCATCCTTAGAGGCTATAAATAAATAAATATATATATATATATATATATATACATATAAATTATTTTAAAAGATACTATGACTAATAAGACTCATACAAATATTTACTATTATTATGTGTATAAATGAAGTATAATGTTAAAGAAGAACACCTTTCTTCTTTACCATATAATTATAAAATATAAAAATGTAAGATACTATTTTTTCTCAGTGCTTCAATTGATAATTTTTTTTATTTTTGAATCGTTGATGTCCTTAATTTAACAGTGTATAATGTATTGCCTTTTTCTTGCTTTCTCTGTGGTCTCGGCTAACCAATGAAATTCGATCACCTTCCTCATCCTCTCGGATGCACTCTTTGACTACGATTGGCCCTCGTAAGGTAAGGAGCCTTATTTCCTTTCTCACACAATAGTACATGCAAACGAGACAGCAATCAATCTTACAACCTCAGTGATCTGTTAGCCATGCTTGACCCAAACAAGTCCATACCTGCTGCTCTGAATCCTCCCCCTGGTCTGGGAAGTTTGGGAAAAGACCATTTAAAAGTGGTTTCGAGTCAGAATTTGGGTAGTGATGGTGGGCAGTCTACTTTAGGACAAAGTTCACTGGCCCAACTAATAGCTGAGCATGAACAGAAGTGTACAAATGTTCCTCCTCTAATTCCTTCCACTGGTCTCTCATTGGATAACACAGTTCCCCTCACTACCAGTCCTTTTGGTTATTTTTTTGGTCCTGCTGCCCCACTTTCTGCAGTGCTTTCTCAGGGTCCTAGTGTCCCACCCATTTCCGGTTTGTCTGTTGGCTCTGGTGCGACTCTCTCTTTTGGCACATCTGTCCCAGCTAGTCTGGGTGTGACATCTTCATCTCTCTTAACCTGCTCTCTCAGTAGTCTATCGCTGCAGGATTCCAAGCCGTCCGCCCCTCTTCCTGTCTCGTTAGGAAGTTTGAGCTCTGTCCTGCAAAGCAGTGGACCGTCGGGAGTACCTGGGCAAGAAAGGAGCTCTGGAAGCCTTTCATTGGCTGAGCTGATCCAGGAGCATCAGGACAACAGTCCCAAACTCTATGACAGTTTGCCAGGACTCCAAAACGCGCATAATTCACATACAACTTGTCCTCAAAACAATCAAAAGCTTATCCGAACATCTGATGCAAATGCTCCTCCTGGCTTTTCAGAGGCACCATCCCTGTCCGTCCTCATGTTCCAACACCAAGCATCACTTGGGCCGCAACTCCCAACATGCACTGCATCGCTTAAGAGTGAAAATGGGGCTAATCATCAAGCATCTAACAAATCTGCAGCAGCTGTACATAAGCCCCGCCCACTAAGCTTAAATCAGAGCGTTGATCTTAGTGCACTCATGTCCCAAACATCTCCCGATGGTCGCTCACCATCCATATTGAGTTTTTCCCACATCTCTGCTAGTCATAAAAAACGTGTGTTTGCTAAATCGTCGATTTTTGCATTAGCGATGTGTGTGCGTGGGAGAAACGAGAAGAGTCAGCGCAATAGAGTGGCTCATAATGCTTTCTTATACAGCAGACAGATGGGAAGAGTGAAAGAACGAGTGCATTGTCCAACTCTTCATCACATCAACCCGTTTTCTTTCGACGCACCCTCTCCGGATGACATAGTCAGAGCAAATCAGAGAAAAGCTTTTACTCGAGACTGACTTTTACTTTTTCTTTCTTTCTTTTTTGTACCTTTTTCATTGCATTTTTAACATCTCCCAAACATCAATCTGAACTCTCTGGGTGTTTTGCAGCTAAGGTTAATTTTATGTTTTACACGCCACAGCAACAGTTTTGGCCATAATCCATAGGAGCAAGGCTATTTCGAGAAGTTGTCAGACTGAATGGTGAATAGTAATGTATATAGAATAAACTGAACAGATTAGTGTTCGTTATTTTAGGAAAATATGAAATTTCAGATGTTAATCATAAGTCAGCACTCGGATGGTTTGTACATTTGAGCCCTGAAATTATTTGAAGCACTGAGACTGCTATTTTATATATAATACTGTATTATATATTTTGTATTATATATTTTATATATAATACAAAAGTATACAGCCCATATAATACTGTATACTTTTGTATTTTCAGATTTTTTTTAAATTTATTTACAGCTAACCATTACACTGAAAAGTTAAAAATGATTCTTATTGTTCTTGTCTGAAACATCACAACCTCAGATAGTAATTTAGTATTACGTTTAAAGTCTAAATTTTTCATTTGAATTTTTCATATTTTCAAACTTTAAAATGGTTAATTAAGCTAAATGTATATTTTTGTACTTGATTTTGAAGTGTTATTACATTTTGACAAATTATGCTTAAATTCTGGAGTACCTCTACATTAAAAAAAAAGTACATAGTAGGAGCATATACAGGGGAAAAAAACTGATTCTCTCTACAGCTGTTTTGCTGCCTTTTGAAATGAGGTGCAGTGCTGGTTTACCACAAACACAGAAAGAGGGTTTGGGGGACACCTGGAATTTTTCCTATTACGTGTTTGACAATCAGCACTGTAAAAGTGCATTTTAGTTACTATAAAAGTTCGATACACGTTTTCATATTTTTTTTCAATTCAGTTTTATTTGCTGCCTTTTTAAATTTGTTTTAAAGCACTAATGTACATATGTGACTGCTGTGGTCGTGACGTTTTGTATATATTCTGAAATAAAGATTTTCCTGTTTCATTTCTGAGATTGATGTTGAGGTGTTTGTGAATATGAGGGGATGGAGGGGAACATGATGTGTGTTTTGAGGCTGAGCTTGTTTTTTGTTTACCTTAAAGGGTGTTAGCTTGTGGTGTTTATCACTTACATGTGTCTGCTTGACTGCGTATGTGCGCGCATATGTACATATAAAACAGAGTCTTTGTGGCCACATAAAGGTGTTAACACGCCCAGAGCATATTAGAAGAGATTTGACAAAGGCTTTGCTTTCATTGTGGTAGACCGTCCACCATGGGAGATGATACACACATGCACGGATCTGAAGATGGTCTGAAAGCACACACACACTCCCCATGCACATTTAGATCGGCTTTATTTCCTCATTGCACACTGACCTGCTCTCCAAAACCAGTTTAATCCTGATAATCACTCAAAAGAGGGTGTTAATTGGGATTGTTGGTAAATTAGTTTTAGCTAAGCCTAAATAAACTGAAAGAATCAATTAAGAGATAAAAAGTTGAACATTTACTCACTGACAGTTCTTGTTTGGTTTAAATGTTCACGGAATTTCTTAATTTGAATGTACACACAATTACTAGTAGTGCTGCAGGTAGCAAGTATCACTATTACTGTAATTCATACTTAGACAAACTCCTAATCTTATAGATTCAGAAAATTCTAAAATTAAGTCATCATTTACTTCCATTCCTCTGCAGAACACAAAATAAACCATTTTGAAGTGTTCAACTTTTTTTGTCCATACAATGATACTCAGTGGGGTCCAAACATTGACTTTCATTTTATGAACAAAAATAAACACTGTGGCATTTTTCAGAGTATTTTATTTCGTGTCATACTGTTTTGGAACAACATGGGGGTGAGTAAATTACAATTTTCTTTTGTGTGAACCTTTAAATATTAAACTTTGATGTGTAACCTTTCCTGCACAATTTGGGTCACACATGAATGGTACCTCAGATCTTGCAGTTTGAGGAAAGGTGTGTTTTTACATTTCTAAAAAATCACACTTATGCATCTGGCAGACAAATTAAACTGGCGAAAATCCCCTAGACTTAAATGGAAGGAGGGACCTGTGCCATATCTAGAGACTAGAATATCTTGTTGATGGGCTCTTTTGACTTGGACCAGTAAGCAGTAACCTTATAACCTCTTTGAATATCCTTGGCAACTTACTTACGACTCCCTGGCAAACACCTGGAAAACTCTAGCACGACGATGGCGCTAGAGTTTTGCATGGGCAATGTCCACTGTTTTCTTCAGAACATGTAAAAATCCTGTTTTACTGTTAGGATGCTTTTGAGTGCACACACTTTTTATCTATGTTTCTCACGTGTTCTTGTTAACTCTCTGTTTGCCGAGCCAAGCGTGGGTGAAAGCCTGCGTTTGAAAAGCATGGTGCATCTCACCTTTCACACTTACTGTCTTTCACTCCGTTTTGCAAATTCTATCTCATTGCCTTCTGACCACCTCAAGTCATCTATCCCTTTTTTTCCCCTCTGTTTTCTCTGCCTTTCTTTGCCACCCACACAGGAAAGAGTGACTGGTTCACAGCTGGCCCTGCTACTGCTCTTTGACGTTTTCTCCCTTTTTTGCACTTTGTGGCTTTTGCAGAAATGGTGATATGTCATTGCGCCTGTGCTGCGAGACATGCAGCACTACATAGATTGGTCAGAGAGTGAGAACGAGAGAGCTTATTGACCCTATTTGAGAGTGTCATTAAATATCATTTGTAGCTAGTTTTCTCTGTCAGAATGTTTCTTGTTTTCTCACACTTTACTCTCCCCTGAATCGTGTCAGTAGAACTAGAGATGATTTTACGCTATTAGACCGGAGACCTGCACAGGCTTCATGTACATTAATCTATATACCCATTTAATTCAGCTAAAAGTAAGAATTAGAATTTGTGAATGCCAACATGTACTGTGACATACTGCAGCAGAGCATGATCCCCTCCCTTCGGAGACTGGGCCGCAGGGCAGTATTCCACCATGATGACCCCAAACACACCTCCAAGACGACCACTGCCTTGCTGAAGAAGCGAAGGGTAAAGGTGATGGATTGGCCAAGCATGTCTCCAGACCTAAACCCTATTGAGCATCTCAAGGTCTCTAACATTCACCAGGTCTGTGGACTCCAGTGGCAACCTGTGAAGCTCTGGTGAACTCCATGCCCAAGAGGGTTAAGGCAGTGCTGGAAAATAATGGTGGCCACACAAAATATTGACACTTTGGGCCCAATTTGGACATTTTCACTTAGGGGTGTACTCACTTTTGTGGCCAGCGGTTTAGATATTAATGGCTGTGTTGAGTTATTTTGAGGGGACAGCAGATTTACACTGTTATGCAAGCTGTACACTCACTACTTTACATTGTAGCAAAGTGTAATTTCTTCAGTGTTGTCACATGAAAAGATACAATAAAATATTTACAAAAATGTGAGGGGTGTACTCACTTCTGTGAGATACTGTAGTTAACTATGGTCGCAACTAAGGTTTGTTGAACTCTGTTGGCGGTAACGGAACTTGTGACCATAGTTGCTTTTGGGAAATGCACCCCAGATTAAGAAAACCTTAGCAACAACCTAGCCCTTTTAACTCTCATGAACACCCTTTGAAGTGTTTAGCAACTTGCTAACAACCCCAGTGTTATTTTAGTATTATTTATAAAACCGTTATTAATATTATAGTTTTTATTATTGTTAATTAGCTTTTAGTTTCAGTTTTCATTTTAATTTGAGCTTAATTTTATGTGCTTTTGGCATTTTTATTTTTTATTTCTATTAGCATTTTTTTTCTTCAGTTATAGTTTTAGTAATTCTAGTATTTCAACTTAAACTTATCAATTTAGTTGCCAAGTCAACATTTCTATTTTTTTAAGTTACATTTTTCATTAATATTTTTCATTAATTATTTGTAACTTTTTTTTTTTAATGGATGAAATTTATTTTTAAGTTTAAAATAACACTGAATTACTCAGATTCAAGAAATGTTAGAAACCACCTAGTTACTGTCCAGAACACCCTAGCTATTACTTAGCATTGTGCTAAAATTCACTCGCAATGCCTAGCTTCACCCTAGCATCATGGTAGTGCATTTTTTATGAGGCAATTGCTATTCACATTTTCTTTGGAAACTAAAAAGTTTTGCTAGATTGTTAGCAAAGATGGAGGTGTTGAAGAATGTCCCATTCGTGCAGACTTTTAGGCCTTTGTCAACCTTTGCCCTTCCCTGTTTATGAAAGAGATTAAATAAGAACAGTGTGTGATGCATCTGAGTGCGTCTGTCATGTTCATGTATTGTTTTCAGCAGGTGTGTACCAAATGGGCAAGGCTGTATGTGAGAAAATCTGTAATAGCGTGTGAGATGTCATTGTGAATTGAGGATATCTGAATGGCAGTAGTGAGGTGAGTGTGTGGGGGTTCCCCATAGTTATGGGACAGCAGTGCTACACTCAACCCAATAAAATAACTGATATGGAAAAGAAGGGGATGAAAGATAAGCTGGAGAGAAGATTATGTAGGTTGTAAGTGTTTTGGAAAGAAGACAGTTCCTCCTTGGGTTTTTGCATGGGTTAATTGTCCTGTTTCTTTCCAGTACTTGTTACACTAGTGCCCCCTACTGAAACAAAAATATGTCCAACACATTTGATTTGACTTTCCAGACCTCTTTAGTTAGACAGTGTGATATAATGGAATACAACTGTTTTGTACTCTTTTTGATTTTGTACTTTTGTTTATTTAGATTTTATTATTATTATTATAGTTTGTTTTTCTTTTCTTTTTTCTTTTTTTCTTGTGTTTTGTTACTGTGATTCTACCATGGTTGTTCAAATGTATTTGGTTTATTATTTTATGGTTGTATTTTATTTATGTATTTGCTGTTGTAACTGCAATTTATGGTGTGTTGGAGCTCTTTGTCAGAATTGAGTTTAATTTGGCAGCACTGAGCATTCTGGCGGCTATGTGTGCAGAGATATGTTGTGTGGGTGTGGTTTGTGTGTAAAGTGTTGCTGAGTGTGTGAATGTGTGTGTTCAGATGAGAGATATTTTGTGGGTGTGGCTGAGTGTGTGTGTGTGCACGAGAGAGCAGGTGAACTGATATCTACATTCCCCAGCACTTCCTGTCCCTGTAACAGGTGTGTGTGTGTGTGTGTGTGCGCGTAAAGTCCATTCCAGTGTGGCCATTTAAACTCTAAAACTTCTGGTGATTTGTATGGTGGTTATTTTTTATATAGTTATTAACGTTAGGCTATATAACAATGCAAAAACATGTACTTTCTCACGTTATGATACCTTAAAAATGATTAAGATCAATGTTTTTTTCCTCCAAGGTGAGTCAGACATCTCGCAAATTCTCCCAAAATTCAAAGTTGTTTTTTCTCTGTTGCGTTTTTCCATCAAAACTTTTGATTTTATTTTTTAAATTTAAATTTATTTATTTATTCATAAATGTTTTAAAGATCTCCCTAACCTACTCATCTTCTCATCATTTTTGTTCTTGGGGGTTAGAGGTGGCATTATTTTAGCACATTAACCCTCTGTGTGCTGGAAGTGCACAGTCAGTGTGGGAGTACGAGTGACGTGCCGGAGTTAACCCTTTGCTGAGTGTGTGAATGTGTGTGTTCAGATGAGAGATATTTTGTGGGTGTGGCTGAGTGTGTGTGTGTGCACGAGAGAGCAGGTGAACTGATATCTACATTCCCCAGCACTTCCTGTCCCTGTAACAGGTGTGTGTGTGTGTGTGCGCGTAAAGTCCATTCCAGTGTGGCCATTTAAACTCTAAAACTTCTGGTGATTTGTATGGTGGTTATTTTTTATATAGTTATTAACGTTAGGCTATATAACAATGCAAAAACATGTACTTTCTCACGTTATGATACCTTAAAAATGATTAAGATCAATGTTTTTTTCCTCCAAGGTGAGTCAGACATCTCGCAAATTCTCCCAAAATTCAAAGTTGTTTTTTCTCTGTTGCGTTTTTCCATCAAAACTTTTGATTTTATTTTTTAAATTTAAATTTATTTATTTATTCATAAATGTTTTAAAGATCTCCCTAACCTACTCATCTTCTCATCATTTTTGTTCTTGGGGGTTAGAGGTGGCATTATTTTAGCACATTAACCCTCTGTGTGCTGGAAGTGCACAGTCAGTGTGGGAGTACGAGTGACGTGCCGGAGTTAACCCTTTCCTGGCCAGAGCGTTCGCTGCTCAGTGAGAGATGACTGGCTGTGGCCGTTGCCACTGAAACGGCTCTACTGCTATGACGAGACACCGAGCACTCGCTGTAGCCATTTACCTTACAGGGACAGAAAAAATACTCATCCTCGTTTTCGTTCGTCCCTTCCCCCTCTCTGGGTCTACAGCAGAGCCTGTTTTGGTGCAGCGTGGAGGGGTTGACTCATGAATTTCAGTAAGATAGTGAGAAAACAAGGCTCAGTGCATGTCGAGTGCACTGACACACACATCTGCTCATCTGAAAATGAGTAACCCTTTATACTGTACCAAACAAGAAACTTGCCTTCATAAAATGTACACTGTCATACATTTTCTGAAAGTAGTATAGTGCAAAAGGCTTGCTTTTGTACTGAAAAAGTCTTTGTTTAAAGGAATAGTTCACCCAAAAATGAAAATTGACTGAAAATGTACTCACTTCATTGAAACAGATTTGGAGAAAATTGCATAACATTACATTATTTGCTCACCAGTGGATCCTCTGCAGTGAATGGGTGCCGTCAGAATGTGAGTCCAAACAGCTGATACAAACATCAATGAAATTCTTGTGACGTGAAAAGCTTTGTGTTTGTAGGAAACAAATCCAGCATTTTAACTTTAAATCGTCGCTTCTGGCCAAAATATAATCCATAATAATGCTTTCTCCAGTGAAAAAGTGCATCTCTTGTTATCCTCTCACATCAAAATCTGCCGACATATTTGTTTATAAACAATCTGGATTGTTTTAGTAAACGGTGGATCATCTGTGCTTATTTCTCTCTTGATTCAGACAAGGCAACTTTTTTTTACAGGATAAAGCAATATTATGTATAGAGGACTCTTTATGAATTTGTTTATTAAAAATACAGCTTTACGTCTCACAAGATGTTAATTGATGGACTGGAGTCGTGTGGATTACTTGTGGCTTTGACGGCAGAGGATTTATTGGTGAGCAAGAAATGTAATGCTAAATTTCTCCACATCTGTTCCGATGAAAAAACAAACTCATCTATATCTTGGATGGCCTGAGAGTGAATAAATTTTCTTTAGGGTGAACTATTCCTTTGAAATATTAAAGTAAAATATCAGTAATATAAATATTATTATTTTTTAAATCAAAATCTAGTGTATGTATGCTGTTTTCTACATTCTAGCTAAAGCACGGGAGGCTCCAGAGAGTCGTGTTGAAGCAGAGGTTGTCCCAAAGGTTGCCCGCATGACTGTGTCAGGCAAGAAGCAGACCATGGGCTTTGATGTGCGAAGGTAAGCCAATTGAGGTAACGTGGAAGTGGTTTAAAGATCTGCCCTTTTAACCCAAATATCGTAGCTTCAAACCTTATAAGGGGGCTCTCCATCTTTCACTCTTGAACAAAGCGTTTAACCACAGCTCACTCCACAGGGACTGTCCCTGTAATAAGTGCACTGTATCACCGTGTCCTATTTAGACAAGAGATGCCACGTTTTCAGTGATTTGTCAGTCTAGACTGAACACTAGTGAAATGCTCAGTCACTCACAAGATATTTCATAGTATGTGATGTAGTTTTAGCTCAATATACAGTTATAATTAACAGGGTTTTGAATCAGATTTTATGATCGGTAGGGCAGTGTTATTTTAGTATTATTTATTGTTTATTTAGTATTATATGTGCTTTTGTATTTTGTCTTAGTTAAGTATTTCTATTAGATTTATTTTTACTTAAGTTTGACTAATTTTAGTACTTAAACTAAAACTTAATTTATTTGAGCAAAAGTTCTAATTTTAATTTAATCTGTAATCTTTAATTACATTAAAAAAAAAAATTTTTTTCAGCGTGATGCCAGAGTAATGGAAAAAGTATAGGTCGCTCTGGATAAAATTGTCAGATAAATTACTAATTAGATGGTTGCCTTGAGTCTTGATGTAGTGGAAATGAGATTTGCATCCTTTGTTAACATGCTTTTTTGAAATCTATGGAAAAAATGACCTTCGTGTTGGTTATCTGCTATCCACAGAATACCAAATATCTGTCCTTAGAATACAGAATTCATTCTCCAAACCAGGCCAAGTGTGTCTACCTGCATTGCATTCTGGCATAGCAGAAAACCACAGAGATGGCTGGTGCATATAGATTAATCTCACACACAAACAAACCCACAGCCCATCACTCTCACTCCTTCAGCCACAGACCACACCCATCAAGCTCAGTAGAAAGGGTGTAGGGGTATCTGCAGGTGGATCAGCCAGTGTACTTTATTTAATTGGTTTAGTTTGTTCTTAACAGTTTGTTTAAATGGCTGTTAGAGGACTCATGCTAAAGTTTCCACAGTCTTTCCATTTCAGAAGAAATTTGTAGGTTTTTACTAACAAAATGTTGAATTTTAAAAAGTTGAAAATGTAGATTGTTCAGTACACAAAACATATATTAGCTTTCAGAAAGTTTGGGGTCAGTAAGATTTATTTTTTTGGTATGAAAGAAATTAATACTTTTGATGCATTAAATGAATCAAACGTGACATTTATAATGTTACAAAATATTTACATCTGTTTTTTTTTTGTAAGCTTTCCATTCATCAAAGAATCCTGAAAACTTATTATGGTATCCTCAAAAATATTAATAACAAAATAATAATAGAAAATGTTACATGAACACCAAATCAGCATATAAGAATGATTCAGAAGTATCATGTAACACTGAAGACTGGAGTAATGGCTACATTTGAAAATATTTCACAATGTTACTGTATTTTAATGAAATAAATGCAGCCTTGGTGAGCAAAGCTTTTTGCAACGTTACTGACCCCCAAAAATACAAAAACATGTTTTTTTTTTTTAATTAGACCTAGGACTGTAAAACAGTACGACGTAATGATTGTATGTTCATCACAGCCTTGTTTTTGTTCATGTCAATTTAACTGACTTTGACTTTAAGAACAAGAATAATACACAGCAAGCCATGTTAAAAATTCTGAGGTGACATTTGATTTTGTGTGTCTTTATAGTGTGGAAGAAAACGGCATTGTTGCCCCATCAGTTCGCAGAGGGCCGAGTCCAGAGATCACTGCTGCACCTACCACAGAGACCCCATCCAAACCATCGGCTGTGAATGAAGACTCTACTGCCCCAACCCCGACTCGACCAACTGGAAAGAGCAAACAGCAGCTCAACATCCATGCTGAACTGGAGAAGAGACAAGGAGGAAAACCGTTACTCAACCTGGTGGTCATAGGCATGATATTCTCTCTATCACTATCCATCCCGCCATATTATCATCCACTTTATATTTTGGTGTTTTATTCTTTTGATTAATCCAATTACCTGGTGAAAAAGGAATACAAGTCCATAAAGTCTTCCCCTGAAGTATTTGGATGCCTAATGTCTCTGTTAGATAACAAAACCAGTATATATGCAGAGAATGTGAAACTTGAACTTTGTTTTTGTGCGTGTGTGTGTGTGTAGGTCATGTAGATGCTGGTAAGAGCACTCTCATGGGTCATCTGTTATATCTGCTGGGGAATGTTAATAAGAGAACCATGCATAAATATGAGCAGGAGTCCAAGAAAGCTGGCAAGGCCTCATTTGCTTATGCATGGGTACTGGACGAGACAGGAGAGGAGAGAGACAGGTAAGTTTAATAAAAATACATTCAGGTATCATTTCTGTTTGGTTAAAGTGACCAAAACAAGATTTATTTGTTTATCACCTGTTTATTTTCATAGAGGAGTGACCATGGATGTGGGCATGACAAAGTTTGAGACTGACTCGAAAGTTATTACTCTGATGGACGCACCAGGACACAAAGACTTCATTCCGAACATGATCACAGGGGCGGCCCAGGTACTTCCACTTAGTATAGTCCACCCAAAAATGAAGATTTTCTCATGTTGTCTTAAATCTTCCCCACAACACTGAAGAATTTGTTTCAAGCATTTGCAATGAGCAGCAACTAAAGATATAATTCTTCAAAAAAGATGCAAAAGCACCATAAAAGTGGTTCATACAACTTGTGCACTATATTCCCAATCTTATAAAGCCATATAATTCCTTTGTGTCTGAATTGGACATAAATTTCAAACTAAAAAAGTGGTTCACTAAAAATCTTGACATCTGCCCTACTGTAACTCATTGGTGTATTCATGAGAGAAGTGCTGTAGCATTGTCTGATTCATGAATGAATCATTCTGTTGTGTTGGATCTTTAGTGAAGCAGTTGATATGGGTAAAACATGGTCTGAATAAATCATTGACAAATCGGACTGATTCAAGTTCAGCTTACTGACTCAATGGTCTGGCCACAGTGGTTAACAGTTCACTACAGGGGGAAATTACCATTGAATAGTGATGTAATTTGGTCTGTTTCGCACAAAATGCTTTTGTATGACTTAAGACACAAGTCATATGAACCACTTTTATGGTGCTTTCATGGTGTGTTTTTTTAAATTTGAAAGCTTCAGTCTTTTGTAATTACAAACAGGGGACTTTATTCAGAATTTCTCCACATAAGAAAGTCTTACACATTTAGAGTGACAGGAAAGTGAGTAAATGACCTCATTTTAATTTCTGGTTGAACTAATCTTTTAATAAAGTCCTGTTTTTCGTTTGCCTAATTACTTTTTGCGTGCACACGAGTTGATGAGAGGACAACTGATGTCTTTGCATAATTTCTTGTGCACAGTAAAGTCTCAATGAAACTCGTTCTTTGTGGATTTGGGTGCCACCACCACTAGTACTCTGTATATGAGTGTGTGTTTGGGTTTGGCTGATACCTCTAAATGCATTGAATGAAATTAGTCACATTGTGCAGACCGGATTTACTCATTTCCTCCTGTCAGTCTGTTGAGAAAGGGTTTTTGGGGGCAAGTGGGTGGGTGTGTGTGTATTGGGTCTAGACTACTACTGTATGATGTCGGAAGTTGAAATTGACATGACAAAGCAATACTGATTTGAGAATCTGTAATATATATGTGTGTATATATATATATATATACACACATATATACAGTGGGTACGGAAAGTATTCAGACCCCCTTAAATTTTTCACTCTTTGTTATATTGCAGCCATTTGCTAAAATCATTTAAGTTAATTTTTTTCCTCATTAATGTACACACAGCACCCCATATTGACAGAAAAACACAGAATTGTTGACATTTTTGCAAATTTATTAAAAAAGAAAAACTTAAATATCACATGGTCCCAAGTATTCAGACCCTTTGCTCAGTATTTAGTAGAAGCACCCTTTTGATCTAATACAGCCATGAGTCTTTTTGGGAAAGATGCAACAAGTTTTTCACACCTGGATTTGGGGATCCTCTGCCATTCCTCCTTGCAGATCCTCTCCAGTTCTGTCAGGTTGGATGGTAAACATTGGTGGACAGCCATTTTTAGGTCTCTCCAGAGATGCTCAATTGAGTTTAAGTCAGGGCTCTGGCTGGGCCATTCAAGAACAGTCACAGAGTTGTTGTGAAGCCACTCCTTCATTATTTTAGCTGTGTGCTTAGGGTCATTGGGCCTCATTTATCAATCTAACGTAGAAACGAGCGCAGATCTGTGCGCACAAATCAACTTACGACAGAGTTCACGTGTGATTTATGAAACATTCGTATGCTGCCGATCTCATCGTACGAATGATCGTATGTTGATAAATGTGGCGCCAGAAAACAATCATCATTTGAATATCACGCCCCTAAAATAATTGTGTAATTTATAATTACATTGTACCAAGGACACCTTAAAATAAAGTTTAACCCAAAATATTTCTGTCAAATACAGTAAGTTGTGTTTTTTTTTTCTTCTACCACTATTCATCTAAGAGTCCTGAAAACATATCATGGTGTCCACAAAAATATTAATAATAAATTAATAAAATAATAGAAATGTTTCTTAAGCTCCAAATCCACATATAAGAATTACTTCTGAAGTAACATGTAACAGTGAAGACTGGAGTAATGGCTACTTTTTAAAAAATATATTGAAATAGAATTTTTTTTAAAAATTGTAATAATGTTTCGCAATATTACTGTATTTTAATGAAATAAATGCAGCCTTGGTGAGCAAAGCTTCTTGCAAATGCAATTTGACCCCCAAAAATAAAAAACACAGTTTTTGAAAAAAAGACCTAGGACCGTAACACAGTATGACATAATGGGTTGTATGTTTATCACAGCCTTGTTTTTGTTCATGGCAAATTAGCTAAATTAGGTTTTTATTGACCGTATGAACAAGAATAATACAAAACAAGCCATGTTAAAAATTCTGAGGTAACATTTGATTTTGTGTGTCTTTAAAGTGCGGAAGAAAACGGAGTTGTTGCCCCGTCAGTTCGCAGAGGGGCGAGTCCAGAGGTCACTGCTGCACCAACCACAGAGACCCCATCCAAACCATCGGCTGTGAATGAAGACTCTACTGCCCCAACCCCGACTCGACCAACTGGAAAGAGCAAACAGCAGCTCAACATCCGTGCTGAACTGGAGAAAAGACAAGGAGGAAAACCGCTACTCAACCTGGTGGTCATAGGCATGATATTCTCTCTCTCACTATTCATCCTGCCGCATTGTCATCCACTTAATATTTTGGTGATGCATTTGAATTAGTTTTATTCTTTTGATTAATCCAATTACCATAATGTCACCCCCTAAAGTATTTGGATGCGTAATGTCTCTGTTAGATAAAAAAAAACATTATATATGCAGTAAATGTGAAACCTGAACTTTTGTGTGTGTGTGTGTAGGTCATGTAGATGCTGGTAAGAGCACTCTCATGGGTCATCTGTTATATCTGCTGGGGAATGTTAATAAGAGAACCATGCATAAATATGAGCAGGAGTCCAAGAAAGCTGGCAAGGCCTCATTTGCTTATGCATGGGTACTGGACGAGACAGGAGAGGAGAGAGACAGGTAAGTTTAATAAAAATACATTCAGGTATCATTTCTGTTTGGTTAAAGTGACCAAAACAAGATTTATTTGTTTATCACCTGTTTATTTTCATAGAGGAGTGACCATGGATGTGGGCATGACAAAGTTTGAGACTGACTCGAAAGTTATTACTCTGATGGACGCACCAGGACACAAAGACTTCATTCCGAACATGATCACAGGGGCGGCCCAGGTACTTCCACTTAGTATAGTCCACCCAAAAATGAAGATTTTCTCATGTTGTCTTAAATCTTCCCCACAACACTGAAGAATTTGTTTCAAGCATTTGCAATGAGCAGCAACTAAAGATATAATTCTTCAAAAAAGATGCAAAAGCACCATAAAAGTGGTTCATACAACTTGTGCACTATATTCCCAATCTTATAAAGCCATATAATTCCTTTGTGTCTGAATTGGACATAAATTTCAAACTAAAAAAGTGGTTCACTAAAAATCTTGACATCTGCCCTACTGTAACTCATTGGTGTATTCATGAGAGAAGTGCTGTAGCATTGTCTGATTCATGAATGAATCATTCTGTTGTGTTGGATCTTTAGTGAAGCAGTTGATATGGGTAAAACATGGTCTGAATAAATCATTGACAAATCGGACTGATTCAAGTTCAGCTTACTGACTCAATGGTCTGGCCACAGTGGTTAACAGTTCACTACAGGGGGAAATTACCATTGAATAGTGATGTAATTTGGTCTGTTTCGCACAAAATGCTTTTGTATGACTTAAGACACAAGTCATATGAACCACTTTTATGGTGCTTTCATGGTGTGTTTTTTTAAATTTGAAAGCTTCAGTCTTTTGTAATTACAAACAGGGGACTTTATTCAGAATTTCTCCACATAAGAAAGTCTTACACATTTAGAGTGACAGGAAAGTGAGTAAATGACCTCATTTTAATTTCTGGTTGAACTAATCTTTTAATAAAGTCCTGTTTGCCTAATTACTTTTTGCGTGCACACGAGTTGATGAGAGGACAACTGATGTCTTTGCATAATTTCTTGTGCACAGTAAAGTCTCAATGAAACTCGTTCTTTGTGGATTTGGGTGCCACCACCACTAGTACTCTGTATATGAGTGTGTGTTTGGGTTTGGCTGATACCTCTAAATGCATTGAATGAAATTAGTCACATTGTGCAGACCGGATTTACTCATTTCCTCCTGTCAGTCTGTTGAGAAAGGGTTTTTGGGGGCAAGTGGGTGGGTGTGTGTGTATTGGGTCTAGACTACTACTGTATGATGTCGGAAGTTGAAATTGACATGACAAAGCAATACTGATTTGAGAATCTGTAATATATATGTGTATATATACAGTGGGGAAAAAAAGTATTTAGTCAGCCACCAATTGTGCAAGTTCTCCCACTTAAAAAGATGAGAGAGGCCTGTAATTTTCATCATAGGTATACCTCAACTATGAGAGACAAAATGAGAAAAAAAAATCCAGAAAATAACATTGTAGGATTTTTAAAGAATTTATTTGCAAATTATGGTGGAAAATTAGATATCAAATACAAATAAAAATGAGTAAATATTATACGTCACAATACTAAAGTAAAATGGTTTGTGAGCAGCATTTTGATGTTGACTTTACAGAAATACGCAGAAAAACTTTTAATACTTTAGTGTTTGGGTGCCTTGGCAGGTGTCATTAGTGGTGGATGCTGGTCTCAGACTGTCTGAGGTGGTGTGTGTGTTTGTGTTTTGCAGGCAGACGTGGCTGTGTTAGTCGTAGATGCCAGCCGTGGGGAGTTTGAGGCTGGGTTCGAGGCAGGGGGGCAGACCCGTGAACACGGCCTGCTTGTTCGGTCTCTCGGAGTCACACAGGTTGCCGTCGCTGTCAACAAGATGGACCAGGTGGGTAACCATGGTGACCACAACAGCTTACAGTAACCACTGCAGTGTCAATCATGATTTTATTTATGTCTGAGAACTCAGCTTCAATCCCTCTCCCACCACTCCTGCTCATCACATCGTGTGTGTGTGTGTGTGTGTGTGTGTGTGTTGGCTTGCAGGTCAACTGGCAGCAGGAGAGGTTCCAGGAAATCGTCTCTAAACTTGGTCACTTTCTGAAGCAGGCTGGTTTTAAGGTGATGTAGGCTGTGCACATGAAGGATGTTTCCCCTCTACATGTTTTCCTTTAGTAATTTTCCCCCCAATTTTTTTTTTTTACTTTCATTTAAGTGCATGATTTTTGTCTGTTAGTGCTTCTAGATAAAGTGAGGCTTTATCTGATTGATGACACATCCAAAAACTGCATTTATATGAAATATGTATTTATATTCATTTATATAAAATAGGTTTCACATACATCTGAGAGCTCATCCTCTATCCCTCCCCCACCACTCCTGCTCATCACATTGTGTGTGTGTGTGTGTGTGTGTGTGTGTGTTGGCTTGCAGGTCAACTGGCAGCAGGAGAGGTTCCAGGAAATCGTCTCTAAACTTGGTCACTTTCTGAAGCAGGCTGGTTTTAAGGTGATGTAGGCTGTGCACATGAAGGATGTTTCCCCTCTACATGTTTTCCTTTAGTAATTTTCCCCCAATTTTTTTTTTTTACTTTCATTTAAGTGCATGATTTTTGTCTGTTAGTGCTTCTAGATAAAGTGAGGCTTTATCTGATTGATGACACATCCAAAAACTGCATTTATATGAAATATGTATTTATATTCATTTATATAAAATAGGTTTCACATACATGTTTCTGATTGAATCTAACACAATATATTAGCTTACAGGCTGATTCTTGTCAGTCTTTTCTGGTTTTCCATACCCGTGTGTTGCAAATGCATATTAAAGAAACTGTTAACCTCTTCTCCCACAAAAATGTAATTTTTTCCATTGATGAACCCCTTATGACTTATTTGCTTTTGTGGAACATACATGAATATGTTTTGCAAAATGTGCAGTGTGCTGTTTTTATGAACTTGTGATATGATGTAGCTTTATGTGAGAATTAGATTGAAATTTAAGCTATTATTTGTTGAAAATCTTCAGGTATGTTCATAAAACATTTGACATCAAGCCTGTTTGCTGTGCATTTTGACATGCCATATTTTTTTGAATTAAGCAAAAATGAGGCTGTGGTGGAGGGGAACATTTTCACTTTTGCACAAGTCCATATGAATTATGAATGCTTTTTTATGTTAAAATACTTGCGAAAGGGCAGTTTGTATATTCTGCGTAATACAAAATATTTTTGTTTGAACGGAACCAATATATATGGATGGCTTTGGAGCAATATAAGGATGAGTAAAAAATGACAGAATTTTCAATTTTGTATAAACTACTTCAAAACCATACAAGAATAGATGAGAATTCTTACATTGTAATAATGAAATATGGGCTACGGAAGAGAAACTGACTGCAGGCCTCAGCTTTTTACTAGTTTCAACTTTGCTCAACTTGTTTCTAGTATGTCTAGTCTCTAAAATATTATGAGTACAATGTGCTATTTCTTGCCAACATGAGAGATTCTTATAATTTTTCAATGAAAATGCAGCTCTATATTACAACAACGGAGACTATTGTGCATATCTGTTTCTTTCGCCATTTTCTAGTATTTTAAATTTGACATTTTATAGATCTACATTAGATGTTTTTGCAGTTAACTGTATTGATATGTGTTGTGTACCTGTACAAGGTGTTATTGGATATATCCAGTATTTCTGTTTTGTGGCCAGTGAAAACCCGGGTGGTGAATGGTTTGGGAATGTAAAGCAACATTTCATGGTTGCTTTCAGCCTGTTGATTTGATCCATCAACAGCACATTCCACTATGGAAATGATCTGTGCCATGTGTTACAAACGTGCTTGTCTTTGCAGGATTCCGATGTGTTTTACATCCCTACCAGCGGACTATCCGGAGAGAATCTGACCACTAGGTGTAAAGTTGCAGATCTTACAGCCTGGTACACTGGGCCATGCCTACTGGAACAGATAGGTGTGTGAGTGTTTGTGTACACACATTTGTGTTTTCGGGTGGGAAAATCATTTAGTGCAAAATGAGGGCGAGTAGATAACGATCAAATGGTCTGTAGAAGGTGCGGCTGTGTCTAAATTGACCAAATTTAGACATGTGAAATGGTTATTTCTGCCCTAGTGTTTTTCTGCTTCAATAATTATGCAAATTAATTATCAAGTTTTTTTTTTTTTTTTTAAGTTGCATCAAAAAAAATCCACTAGGCTAAAAAATCTGATGTGGCACAATTAAATGTTTAAATGGGTGCTTCTGTGTTCATATACAGAGTTGTGTGTGTAAGAATGTAGAATCCCCTGCTGTGATGATTTTTGCAGAAGCTCCTGTGTCGTTATGCTGTGATCTGATTGGTGGCCGAGTTGTGAGAATCCTCAGCAGTTTTACTTTGACTCATCAAAATTTGATGAGGCAAACAGAAAACCTTTAGACTACTGCATCTTTCCTCATCTCTTTCTCTCTATCTGTCTGCAGATGCGTTTAAACCACCCCAGAGGTCAGTGGAGAAGCCATTCAGGCTTTGTGTCTCAGACGTTTTTCTGCTTCAATAATTATGCAAATTAATTATCAAGTTTTTTTTTTTTTAAGTTGCATCAAAAAAAATCCACTAGGCTAAAAAATCTGATGTGGCACAATTAAATGTTTAAATGGGTGCTTCTGTGTTCATGTACAGAATTGTGTGTGTAAGAATGTAGAATCCCCTGCTGTGATGATTTTTGCAGAAGCTCCTGTGTCGTTATGCTGTGATCTGATTGGTGGCCGAGTTGTGAGAATCCTCAGCAGTTTTACTTTGACTCATCAAAATTTGATGAGGCAAACAGAAAACCTTTAGACTACTGCATCTTTCCTCATCTCTTTCTCTCTATCTGTCTGCAGATGCGTTTAAACCACCCCAGAGGTCAGTGGAGAAGCCATTCAGGCTTTGTGTCTCAGACGTCTTCAAAGGTCAGCATGGGAACCAACATAAAAGCAAAATGCACAAATATCAAGGTTGATTCTGTCCATGTATTCCCTTGTTATTAAAAAAATGAAACCCAAAAATGAAACAAATCCTTTACTCTTTCATTATAGCCAGTTAAGAGACGTTTTACTTTATGATCATCTAAACAGCCTGACTGTTTTCAGATCAGGGCTCTGGGTTCTGTGTGACGGGGAAGATTGAGGCTGGCTTCATTCAGACAGGAGATAAAGTTCTGGCCATGCCTCCTAATGAGACCTGTACTGTTAAAGGTAAACACCGCTTTATCAGCTTCTAGAGATTTGAGGAGGATATGCATATGCCATATGCTTTAGGAGGATATGCAACATTGCCCCCTTCTGGTGTTGTCACGAAAGACCGTACACTACTGATCATAATTCGCTACTAATCTTTACAGTGCTTTAAACTTGTTTTAGTTCTTTTTTTTCCAGTTCTGTGGCTAAGAAATGGATGCTGCATATAGTAGGGATGCACAGTATTGGCACTGGTCAGAATAGTTGTTTATGTTTAATGTAGCAATAAAATGCAGAAAAATTATTTAATACATATAATGAATATTATGGGAATATACACTATTGTCAGTAAATTTAGTACTTTTTAATACTGCTTTGTCATCGCAGGAATAAATTACATTTTAAATAGTATTTTAAATTGTAATAAAATTTCACAATATTACTGTTTACTGTTTTTTAATCAAATAAATGCAGCCTAGATGAGTAAAAAAAAAATTATTTCAAAGATTTTACCAACCTCAAACTTTTGAATGGTAGTGTTTCACCTAGCCCTAATTGGCATAAATTATGGCAATTATTTTTATTTCATTTTTTTATTTTTATTGATGCATCCTTAAAATGCAATCTGTCTGTCTCTAGGCATCACTCTTCATGATGAAGCTTTAGACTGGGCAGCTGCTGGTGATCATGTCAGTCTAACTGTAACTGGCATGGACATCATCAAAATAAAGTGAGTGTGCAAAGTGTGTGTGTTACCTGTGTTAAAAACTCTGGGCACTGTTGATTCTGTATGATCATGTGTTAGGTTTTCTCGTCACACTATCTTCTCTTTCTAGTGTTGGGTGTATATTCTGTGAGCCTAAAGAGCCCATCAGAGCCTGTACACGATTCCGAGCAAGAATTCTACTCTTTAATATAGAAGTTCCCATCACGCAAGGCTTCCCGGTGAGGAAATGCTCTGTTCAGACGCTCTCTCTCTCTCTCTCTCTCTCTCTCTCTCTCTCTCTGTATATGTATATGTATATGTATATGTATATGTATATGTATATGTATATGTATATGTATATATGTATATATATGTATATGTATATGTATATGTATGTATGTATATGAGGGATGTGCAAGTGCATTTGTTAACATTTGCACGTGTTTTGTGTTTGTTTGTCAGGTACTGTTACATTATCAGACCGTAAGCGAACCAGCCACTATTAGGAAGTTAGTCAGTGTATTACACAAGAGCAGTGGAGAAGTTCTCAAGAAGAAACCAAAGTAAGTAGATTAATGATATAGAATCAAATTTGTTCATTTATTTATTCAACCTCCTGTTGTTCCAAACCTATATGACTTTCATTCTTTAGTGAAACGGTGAACTGTGAAAAGTGAACAGCGACTGTCATATTCTTAAAAAAAAAAAAAAGTCATGTTCTAAACAACCCCGTATCACAGATTTTTTTTTATGATGAACATTTGGTATTGTTGTATGATGAGCATAAATGTAAGAGATTATTTGCTCAATCTCTTCTCCTTTGCAGTAGCTCTCAAATCTCATTTGCGCTTCTGCATTAGTTAACTAAAAATAAAACTATGGAAAATAAATGTTGGTGATATAAATAAAGCTGAGGTGAAACAAAATGTAAATATTAGATTCAGTTAATTGAATTTAAAAACTTAAACGAAGATTTGAGATGTTTCCTTAGAAACTAACTGAAAAGCTTAAGTTGGACTAAAATTAACTAAAGCTAAAATAAAAATGAATTGAAGCTAAATAGAAATGTTTAAAAAACAAATCCTGTGAAAATAATAAGCACATAACAAAGTCACTATAACGTCAACTAAAATGAAATAAAAAACGGAAAAAACCCAAATGAAATATTAATAAATACTATAATAGTATTTATAAATATTTCAGTATTAATAAATACAAATAAAGCGCGTCCCATATTCCAAGTTTACCATTGACACGTTCTGATATCATCTTTGGGTGAACTGTTTCTTTAACAATGATTCAGAGTAATGTTTTTACTGGAGAGTCATTGTCAGCTTGATGTTGATGGTGTATAAATGTTGTGCAGGTGTTTGAGTAAAGGACAGAACGCTGTGGTGGAGATTCAAACACAGAGGCCTGTGGCTCTGGAGCTCTATAAGGACTATAAAGAACTGGGGCGCTTCATGCTGAGATATGTGGGCTCCACCATTGCTGCTGGAGTTGTCACAGAGGTAAAAGGCAGTACATATCCGCCTTTTCTCACTAAACACATTGCCATTTTGTATTCATCAGCATTTTTTTTGATATTGCATTATGAGAATGTGATGCTTGTTAATACTGCTAATGTTTATACTGTTCTAGATCAAAGAGTAAGAACCAGTTGGAACTGGATCCTCCAGAAAAAACTGGGCGAAACCTCTGGACAGAAGTGCAATTCCCCCTCAGAGCTACAGTAACACAAACACACACACACAGATGCCCACCAGGCAACATCTAGCCACAGTTCATTTCACATTTCACCTGGCTAAAGGGCCTAGAATGAGCATGAATGTTTGTGTGTGTGTGTGAGAGAGACTGCATTTTGTCCTGCTCCTCAACTTGCAGTATACAATTTGATCTGTGTAGTAATTCATCCAAAATTTCGACTCCAACCCTCCTAAACACACAAACACACCCTCCTCACAACAAACTGAACACATTTTATTTTATCATTTGATATTTTATTTAGATTATTGTAAATCGCATCATTTTTGACTGTATTATGGCAGCACATAATGAATATTTAGTCTTGGTTCAGATGGAAGGTTTTTAAGGTTACTTAATCTGATTAGTTAAGGATGTGTACATTTGTAAAAGGGAAAATAGAATAAACAACACAGCTGGCTGATCTCATCTCCTCCATCAGTTTCTCATGCAAGCGGGACAGTGTGAATGAAACCTGCCCTTCCATTGCTGCTACTCTGTCTTGACCATTAATGAGAAAACAGAAGGATTGAGAACTAGTGGACATGCTGGATATGCTGTGGATGTGGGAGAAACTCATCCACGGGTCTGTAATCTAACAGTAATCACTTTAAGGACCTAACGGACATGACTCTTACTCGTCTGTTTTTGACTTGATTATTAAGGGGTTTTAATTTAAAGAATATTTTGTTTGGGTTTCTCGAAACTGAAGTTGTTCATTTGGGGGAAAGCTGCTTCATCAGAAAAATAAAGAAAAATATGGATCACTGTGGAAAACACGAGTCTGTGTATTGCTTTGCCAGTAAACATAGTATTTCTTCATTTTTACATTTATGTTGCCATTTTGGAAAGTGTTAGTTAGTTTTATCATGGAAGCCTTTTTCCACCACAGAACACTAAAAAAAATGTGAGAAGAAAAATTTACGATAAACCTTTAGTATAGGGAACAATTCTCACTATTAACTAGTTGCTTATTAGCATGCCTATTATTAACATATTGGATGGTTATTAGTACTTATAATATTCTGCATGAACATATTCTACATCCCTAATCCTACCCAATACCTAAACTTATACCTTACTATTAATAAGAAGCAAATTAGGAGTTTATTGAGGCAAAAGTCATAGTTAAAGGTTTGTTATAGCGAGAATTGCACCTTAAAATAAAGTGAGACCCTCAGAATTCAGAGAAAAAAGTCAATTATGAGATTTAAACTTGCAAGTCGGAATTGTGAGTTGTATAATGGAACAGCAAAAAAGAAAAAAAAGGCATGATTATTTCTCCCAATTCTTAGAAATGTTAGAAAAAAGTCATAATTGTGGTATTAAAAAGTTGCAGTTACCATTTTTGCTTTTTTAATTCTGTGGAAATGGGCTACCCTGCTCAACAAAAGCATTGTTTATTCTTGACAGGAATTTATGATTTTCCTGCATGTAAACTGTTTATTTTCATCCCTACAATTTTCGTTAGGTTTTTAGCACATTTTGGTCTGATGCTGAATGACATGAATCCCAGTGCATTGATGTTTTGTACACACACTTTACTATTGCAGTGTAATGTGAGTTATGCAAATCAAGTAATTTTCCACTTACTCTAGAAAGTGCTCACTCTCTGAAACACTAACAGATGTAGCTAAGAAGTTGTTTTCTTATGTGAGAATGTGCTGCTGTCATTTTCCACTTCATGGCCTGATAATCAAAAGACTTCATGAATGCAGCTTGTTCAGAATAGATAAGGACTCAAAGACGGTTACACATCGATTCAGTGAAGCTTGGTTTAATCAATTTGTCTCTGCCTCTTGGTTGTTGGGGTATATGCTGAAAAATTATGAAAATATACTGAAATTGATTATAAATATGCTGCTTAGACCTTATCCACCACACAAGATAGTAGTTAATAAGCATAATTACAATCAAAAATGAAATGAAAAATAGGGCACTTGACCTTTTAACAAATATTTGGGTAACAAATGATTTTTTCTTGACTGAACTTCGGGATATTAAGTGTATGTGCTGCAGAGTTGAGTGCAGCAATCACAGTCTCAAGAGATTCTAACATTAGCTCTACTTTAAAAGCATCAAAGAGTTTTCTGAATTACCCACAAAGAACATTTCCAACAAAGGTAACTTTTTAATGCTGCCTTTCTCTAATTTCAGCTCATTGTTCTCTTTGATCCTCTTTTTAAATAATTCAAAATGATTGCCTAATGATATTTTCCTTCCTTTAATTTTCTGCATCGCTGCATACAATGGCATTTTCACAGTAAGATTTGTCTTTTTTTCCCCTTCTTGTTAATTTTCCTTATAGATGTTATTTTTCTCTGTATAGTGGTTTATATATTTTTCTTGAGAAATTAAATTTCAACATCCATCCACTTTTTCTCTGGGGCTGGTCTTTTGATTTGGAAAGAGCAAAGTCTCTCACTTTTCAGTCTTTCTGCTCTTCACCATAAATCTTTCATGATTTGTTCTAATGCTGCTTCATGAAACATTAAAGTCGTATCAATTTATAAAATTGCTTTGTAATTAAGCTACCCAGTGGAATATACACTGAACAAAATTATAAACGCAACACTTTTGTTTTTGCCCCCATTTGCCATGAGCTTAACTCAAAGATCTAAGACTTTTTCTATGTACACAAAAGGCCTATTTCTCTCAAATATGGTTCACAAATCTGTCTAAATCTGTGTTAGTGAGCACTTCTCCTTTGCCGAGATAATCCATCCACCTCACAGGTGTGGCATATCAAGATGCTGATTAGACAGCATGATTATTGCACAGGTGTGCCTTAGGCTGGCCACAATAAAAGGCCACTCTAAAATGTGCAGTTTTACTGTATTGGGGGTCCGGGGGGGGGTCTGAAAACCAGTCAGTATCTGGTGTGACCAACATTTGCCTCACGCAGTGCAACACATCTCCTTCGCATAGAGTTGATCAGGTTGTTGATTGTGGCCTGTGGAATGTTGGTCCACTCCTCTTCAATGACTGTGCGAAGTTGCTGGATATTGACAGGAACTGGAACACGCTGTCGTGAATGCTAAGCATTTGCCCACTCAAGTCGGTTACGACGACGAACTGCAGTCAGGTCGAGACCCCGATGAGGACAACGAGCATGCAGATGAGCTTCCCTGAGACGGTTTCTGACAGTTTGTGCAGAAATTCTTTGGTTATGCAAACCGATTGTTGCAGCAGCTGTCCGGGTGGCTTGTCTCAGACGATCTTGGAGGTGAAGATGCTGGATGTGGAGGTCCTGGGCTGGTGTGGTTACACGTGGTCTGCGGTTGTGAGGCCGGTTGGATGTACTGCCAAATTCTCTGAAACACCTTTGGAGATGGCTTATGGTAGAGAAATGAACATTCAATTCACGGGCAACAGCTCTGGTGGACATTCCTGTAGTCAGCATGCCAATTGCACGCTCCCTCAAAACTTGCGACATCTGTGGCATTGTGCTGTGTGATAAAACTGCACATTTTAGAGTGGCCTTTTATTGTGGCCAGCCTAAGGCACACCTGTGCAATAATCATGCTGTCTAATCAGCATCTTGATATGCCACACCTGTGAGGTGGATGGATTATCTCGGCAAAGGAGAAGTGCTCACTAACACAGATTTAGACAGATTTGTGAACAATATTTGAGAGAAATAGGCCTTTTGTGTACATAGAAAAAGTCTTAGAACTTTGAGTTCAGCTCATAAAAAACAGGGGCAAAAACAAAAGTCGTGCGTTTATAATTTTGTTCAGTGTATATATAACAGTGATGTTATCACTGTTACCAAAAAGTAGCTTGTTACTGGAAAAGGTTAATTGTTGATACTTTTGATTAGTCACAATACAGTACTGGTGTTACACCGATCCTCAAAACAGTTCTTTTCAGTTTGAGATATTTTAATATATTGGACATTTATATAGATAATTTTTAAGGAACCAAAGGTGAAACCATTGCATGCCTTATCAGTGACTTTTCTCAACATTTGTGGACTGGTAGTGGTATTAGGATCATTTGTGTTACTGTGTATTTCACCAAGTAAAGCAGGTAGACTATCTTTGCAGCTTTCTTCTTGTGACTGACGTCTCTGCCTCATCCTCCGCATCCTGGGTTATTTCAGGCCTGAAGTACTGCTCTCAGAAACACAGCAACACAAACACTCCCAATGTAACCTCTTAATACTGTGACACATCTATCAGCCTCCTCCACACCTGTACATATTTTGGTTTTCATTTATTTAAAGAACGTGCTTCATCAAAACGTGTTCCCCAAAATACATTATCAGCATTGGGTGCTATTTCTGAGCACACTACATGATAAAAGCACCCACTCCAGTTGCCCAAATGAGGATTTCAGTATATTATAAACATGCTTGTCTCTAAATAATCCCTTTAAATGTGTTGAGGTTTAGTGTTATATAGTTTTGTACTGGTTTATTTAGTCAAATTTATTGTAAATGTATTGGTCAGTCATCAATATATCAGTGTTTAATATTCAACTCAAGGCAATGATTCCCTTTTCACAGAAATGTGAATAATATCTCAAAACCTCCAGCAAGTTAAGGTCTTTTAATGCGCAACTCATGCTCTAATTAATGAGTGTCATATCTGCTGGAGGAGTTATTTAGTTTACTATACAACCTCTCATTTGCTTGAGTAAACAGATTGCAAAAGAGTTAGGTGAAAGCTCATATGTAACAGTGTGCTGACTGGTGCGCAAACATTTCAGGTTTTTCTTTTGACACCCACTCCAGTTGCCCAAATGAGGATTTCAGTATATTATAAACATGCTTTTATATAATAATCCCTTTAAATGTGTTGAGGTTTAGTGTTATATAGTTTTGTACTGGTTTATTTAGTCAAATTTATTGTAAATGTATTGGTCAGTCATCAATATATCAGTGTTTAATATTCAACTCAAGGCAATGATTCCCTTTTCACAGAAATGTGAATAATATCTCAAAACCTCCAGTAAGTTAAGGTCTTTTAATGCGCAACTCATGCTCTAATTAATGAGTGTCATATCTGCTGGAGGAGTTATTTAGTTTACTATACAACCTCTCATTTGCTTGAGTAAACAGATTGCAAAAGAGTTCGGTGAAAGCTCATATGTAACAGTGTGCTGACTGGTGCGCAAACATTTCAGGTTTTTCTTTTGATCTGCAAAACTGATTTTTAATCTCATTTTTCTGCGATGTCAAAAGACATTAAACATCTAGTGCTGGAAAACTATATCGGTGGGAAGTTTGTACCATGTTCCAAGTTAATAGACTCTTTCAACCCATCGACTGGAGAGGTTTATTGCAAAGTTCCAGACAGTGGACCCGAGGAGGTGAGATTTTTTTGTGATATTTCTTTTATAATTTTCAATTTCTTTCTAATATTTGAAGATGTAAGTTGTGTGTGATCAAATAAGGTCTGTCACTATAGATGTACTTTCTTGAACGTTTGTCTGAATGGGTATTTCACTAGATGAACATTTTCACTTGTTTCTAGTGTAAAAACATAATTGTAGTTTCAACTTTAAAAATATGTAACTAGTCACAAGATTATCTGGCTGAAGACACAAATTCCGAGGAAGGCAAGAGTAATGACACTTACTGAGACAGGGTGACTACCTTTGGTCATAATCAGGTGGGTGATGCTCAATGTCCAGTGTTTAATTATTAACTATTATAGCTCACACCAGAAGAACTTGTCTGGGTCAGTGGAACAGAAAAGAGTTTAGATGTAGTATGTACAGTCCATCACTGTTTTGTGCAATATTATTATATAATATTACTTATTTTTTAA